GACAGCGCCCAAGTCGGTTGTATCTGTCATACTTTTCTTAGCCAAGTACTTCGCGTATCGTGATTATTATATTTTTATGTGAGTTTTATCTCTGAAAAGTCTATGCAAGAAGTTTTAATGTAAGATTAAGAGGTAAATTATATGTCGGAGCGTCTATAAAATATCACTTGGATCGAGGTGGACATGAGGGTGTATCGAGAAACTCCCACTTGTTTGTGCAGTATAAAGTTCAGAGTCTGCTTCAGTCATTCAACGAGTGTGGTCATTCTACTCGTGCTGAGATAGTGTCGTGGTTCTGTTCGTTGTTGTAATTCCTCTAGTGCAGACAAGGAGGATTGGTGTGGCTGAGAGGCTGCCCTGTGTTACATTGAGATAAGTAGTGTTGCTGTTGCTGTACATATTTTGGTGTTATCATGTAATTACGTACCTCACTTTACACTGGTGTGTGATTGTGGCGGAGACGTGTTACGGTGTGGTCGAACTGTAATTTCACTATACTGAATGTATAGTGCGTTACGTTGTCTTATTACTGATAATGATTAAACTGCGTAAGCAAGAGAGCAAGTTGAACATCCGCTCTCACACTTTTATTATTTACAGTTAACGCTATTCTGATGTATTTCCAAGACCAAAATTGGGATCCTCTGTTGTATCCGATATCAGAAGTGGGATCTCCTATTGTAATTTCCGAGATCAGAAATGGGATAAAGTCCCTGTTACTGTCTGCACATAACCTTTGAATAGTGTAAAGGTTATTATTACGTTGATGAAAGACGATGATGCGCCTCGCGTTTTGTTTTTTGTGTTTAATTTCTTAAATCAAGTTTGTTGTCGTATTTACGACACCGACGAACCATTAAAGTGTAGATTAAAAGTTTAAAGTGAAATGTTTTAAGCCAAAAGTTAAATCTTTTTGTTCGATTTATAATAAAAAGTACCCGCAAATACTTTCATTATTTCTTAACGTACCCAAATATGATAACAAATATCGAAAGAAATGTTGGAGGTATTCTAATAGAGTTATAGTTTGCATTCAGTGGAAATTCGACGGCTCGAGTTATGTTATAATTTGATATTTCATACGAGGTGTGATTTACATGGGCTAATTTTAAAGTTCAAAATGTTTAAACGATGTACCGAAAAACATGTTTACTTTAACGTGCTGTGACTTAAAAACACTAAGTAGTAATTTTGTATTCTAATGTGTTGACAAGTGTTACAGTTTAGTCCGAGCGTTATGTGTTAGACAAAATTGGGATTTGATGTTGAGAGTGTAGTGGAAGGCGTGGTGCTGTGGCGCTCGCTCTTGAGCGAAAGTATGCTGTGGGCTTATGACGCCGCGGACACATTATTTGCCACTTTTTCTGATCACCATTTAATAAACGAGGAAAGTAAACTTATCTTAAGGTTGATTAGTTGAGAAAAATACCGGGAAACCAAAATATAACTGACGAAATTGAAATACAGCAAATTAGTTCTGACATTGAAGACAGTATTTAAGTTTACATGAGGATCGAACCGTACCAGAGGTTGTCGTGTGGCCGCACCTCAGTATATGGTGCACTGGAAAGGCGAATGGTGTCCCGAGAGTAGTGATGCGTTTTTTTTAAAAGTTCCTACTGAATCTTTAAATGTTTTCTTTTATATGTTACAGTAGTACGTGTTATGTAATTACATGAGCGCGAGCGTGAGCCAAGGGTGTACCTTGCTAGTCGGAACGGACTGCCGGGTCCAGCTGTAGCATGGCGGTGCCTCGGAAGTCTTACACTATGTGTGCGCTGAAGTTGTGTACTCTGTATGCGCGGATGTCATACCCTCTGAGTGCACGGAAGTCTTGTTCTCTGAACATGCATCAGGCTCTGTCCTGGCAGGCGCTGTCCTGTTTCACGCTGTTAGCGTGGTTCACGTGGTTAACGTTGGATCTCGCAAGTTCAAGTACGAGTATGTGTGAGATACTTCGTATGGAGATGTATTCTTACTAGTGAAAGCGAAATTAGTCCACGGTATGAGAGCGTATTTCTGTTTGAGGGCCTCGTATGCGTGATGGATGAGAGGATAGGCAACTGTGTATGTTGTCCTGGTAATTAACAACTTGTTTTTCACGCAGATCACGACGACGACAACCCCTATGATGCCTGTGAACCCTTAGGTGCTCCTGCTACTCCCGTTGACGCTTCGAGTGCGTGTCGGCGCAGCGTCTCGCTGGCGCTGGTGCGGCGCAACGAATCAGTGTGCGAGTGCGGTACGCCCTGTGCTGTTGTTTTGGCCATGTGACCTTGTTTCATGGCAGATAACTATGGCGTGTGCTGGTTTGTTTTAATAGCCACGTGCGCTTGCCTTATGCCTGCCACAGAGGCGAGCAGTGAGCGACGTGTTGACGTTTGCTGTGTGAGCAATCCCAACGGTAAGCTGATGAATACTGGTGAGTCGTACCCATTTTATTATGATTCTGGCCCGAATTTCCTCTCATCAAAGATTGTGTTGTGCCAAAGTTTAATGGCAAAAGAGTGAATAATATTGTAATTTTAACCGGAATCGGTCAATGTTTAGTGTGCAAAGTAACAAATACTCCCATGATCACGTGAGGAAAATCCCCGATCACCAAGTTCTTTGAGAGTTAGATGTCATAGTTGATGACAGTGGTAGTGAGACCAAATTTGATTAAGAATGGCTTGTATACTCATACTCAAAAGTTTAGACCGCACCTCATGAGTAACATGTGGCGATGGGTCTATAGGGAATCGTTGGTGCGATTTCTGTCTGTGTTTGGTGCACAGCGCCCCTCATGTGTTGTAGCATGTTTGGCGGCACATATGTAGAGAATCGTTGGTGCGATTCTGGCATATGTGGCGGCAGATGTGTGAAGAATCGTTGGTGCGATTCTAGCCTGTGTTGGTGCACTGAGCCCCTAATGTATTGTAGCATATTTGGCGGCAGATATGTAGAAAATCGTTGGTGCGATTCTAGTCTGTGTTGGTGCACAGAGCTCCCCATGTGTTGTAGCATATTGGCGGCGGATATGTGGAGAATCGTTGGTGCGATTCTGGCATATGTGACTGCAGATATGTAAAGAATCGTTGGTGCGATTCTGGCCTGTGTTGGTGCACAGAGCCCCTCATGTGTTGTAGCATATGTGGCTGTAGATATGTGGAGAATCGTTGGTGCGATTCTGGCATATGTGACGGCAGATTGTAAAGAATCGTTGGTGCGATTCTGGTCTGTGTTGGTGCACAGATTTCAATGAAAGTTCACGAGTTGAATATGCATTGCTTATGAATTGTAAAGAGTAACAAAATTGTTAAAATTACTGTGTTGGAACTTGTTGATCGGACCTTTCACAATAAATCATGTTGTGCAGGAAGCACTGCGTACGAAGCCTTAATGACAAGGCATTGTCAATTATGACAGTTAACTATTGTACTTACACTTAGGAGAAGTAAAGTATCATTTGGAATCGACCTTGTTTCTATTGGCAGAATAGTCGAGCTAGATTAATCTCTAGAGCATATTTTGTCTCCAGGCACTGCAACCGAGGACGGATGCTAGTCAGGAATGGAAATTAGTTTTGCGAACTAATAATATGTAGCCACTCATGTCAGGATGGACGAGAGGACGAATTGATGTTTGTTACAGGAATGCATAAAGATACACGCCCGAGGACGGTCGTACTTCAGGATGGCCGTGTCGGAGCGTCTATAAAATATCACTTGGATCGAGGTGGACATGAGGGTGTATCGAGAAACTCCCACTTGTTTGTGCAGTATAAAGTTCACTGTAGGTGCCGTGCGCGAGAGATTCCGCTTCAGTCATTCAACGAGTGTGGTCATTCTACTAGTGCTAAGATAGTGTCGTGGTTCTGTTCGTTGTTGTAATTCCTCTAGTGCAGACAAGGAGGATTGGTGTTGCTGAGAGGCTGCCCTGTGTTACATTGAGATAAGTAGTGTTGCTGTTGCTGTACATATTTTGGTGTTATCATGTAATTACGTACTTCACTTTACACTGGTGTGTGATTGTGGCGGAGACGTGTTACGGTGTGGTCGAACTGTAATTTCACTATACTGAATGTATAGTGCGTTACGTTGTCTTATTACTGATAATGATTAAACTGCGTAAGCAAGAGAGCAAGTTGAACATCCGCTCTCACACTTTTATTATTTTTAACAATTAACACTATCCTGATGTATTTCCAAGATCAAAATTGGGATCCTCTGTTGTATCCGATATCAGAAGTGGGATCTCCTGTTGTAATTTCCGACATATATAATAAAGTAACCATAGTTTAATGATAGGTCATCGCGCGCTCTGACTAGATACCGCCACAATCGGCGCAGCAAATACTACGCCAAAATCGGCGTACCCGAGCCAGTCGCGTTGCAGGCAACGTGTGAGGTGAACGTACCGAATGTTTTATTAAATTTTGATCATAATTCGAAATAAAATACGTAAAAGTATTGAACTGTGTAAAAATAATACTACAAGAAATAAGACACTGGAATCACATACTATCAGTAAGTATCATACAATTTCGAAATTTTAAATAACACGAGCCATAAATAAGTCACAAAATATCAATGACGCTATTCAGTGTTGCCGCGAATGCAAAAATAAAGTTCCCCGTGGCTGAGATTTTTATATGTGAATTTATTGTTACTATATTTTATAATATAATATATTTAACTTATTATAATATAACCTAATTCTATATTATTTAATAATTATTTCTGTAGTATTGCTCAAATGACATAATTGCCGTTTATTAGGGTTCCGTACCCAAAGAGTATAAGTCTCCACTATCGTTCCGTCTGTCTGTCAGTAGGCTGTATCTTATGAACCGTAATATGTAGAAATTTCACAGAATGTGTATTTATATTGCTGCTATAACAACATAAAATAAAAAAGAAAACAAGTAAAATATTAAAGGACCCAAAAATCACGTTTCTTGTATGAAGACCATATAAGAAACGTGATTTTTTCTGTATTGGTATGTGTTTTGTTTACAGACTAAAGCGAAATCTCGTTTAACACTCAATAAAATGATGCTGTGTGTATGGTGGTATTGAAAAGTTTATCATGAGCTTTTACCGCCAGGTAAAACCATCGATTCGGATCTCTACTACCAATAAATAATGAGACAAGCAAGAAATAGAAATAAAAATCGGCTGGCATTGATAATCAGAAAAAGAATGGTCTTTCATCATGATAACGCCAGATCACAAGTTTTTTTTTCCATTATAAATGGGATGACTAAATCCATGTTCCTTCAAATCTCTGGTATTGAATATATCAAATAAAACTACTTGTCGAATTTTTTTAATCAAAATCCCAAGATTTCTACAGCAACGTTTATTTTCTATTATGTCACTACCTACAAGATGGTAACAAATTATCGAACAGAATGGACCCATATATATTATAATTAAATGTAATAAAACTTTAAAACAAAAACGTCTTGAATTTGTATACTATATACGAAGAAACTTTTTCCCCGGTCTTATATACTAACTAAAGGTGTAACAAAATAGTACTTAATAACTATGGGAATGATTCTGTCCGTCAACATGAATATTTTTTATTATGGGATCATCTTCGAAATTTTCAATTTATATGTGATAGACCCATACTGCAGCTATATTACTGGTATAGTTGTAGCACGAATGGGTCTGCTCGACCGGGGAAGGACCACGCTCTCACAGAATACCAGTGTAAAATAGGAGCTCAATGCTGCTGTGTTTCCTATGGTGAGTGTAGAGAACCGGAGACCCATTTTACTGGAAACGAGGCATTCCATCTTAGTCCTCAGGGTTTGCAACGCATCTGCATTTTGATTCTTAACCGAGGATAGATGTATATGTCTATGGGCCACAGCAAACACTTACCATCAAGTGGGCTGAGTGCTCGTTTGTCACCCTGATCCTATAAAAAATATCTCAAAGTCAGTTATTCCATACAAAATTACGCATAAACTTGCTCAAAATGTATGGAAAACCTGATTTTTCTTGCGATTTGGAAGATAGATCTATAGTAAAAGTTGTTCATATTGACGCGTAGAATAGAAAGCACTATTTCGATTACACCATATATATATATATATATATATATCATCATCATCATCATTACAGCCCTTCACAAGTCCACTGCTGAACATAGGCCTCCCCCAAAGAATGCCACAAAGCACGGTCCTGAGCCACCTGCATCCATCGACTTCCTGCATATCTTACCAGGTCGTCACTCCATCTAGTGGGGGGACGCCCTACACTTCGCCTGCCGGTACGAGGCTGCCACTCGAGAACCTTTCTTCCCCATCGGTTGTCGGTTCTTCGAGCTATATGGCCGGCCCATTGCCACTTCAGCTTACTAATCCGTTGGGCTATGTCGGTCACTCTAGTTCTACTGCGGATATCCTCATTTCTGAGTTTATCACGCAGAGAAACTCCGAGCATAGCCCTCTCCATAGCTCGCTGAGCGACCTTGAGCTTCCTCATCCGGCCAGCAGTGAAGGACCACGTCTCAGTTCCGTATGTCATCACTGGCAACACGCACTGGGTGTACAGTCTCGTTTTCAAGGTTTGAGGTATACCTGACGAGAAGATGTGCCGTAATTTCCCGAACGCTGCCCAACCGAGTTGAATCCGTCGATTGACCTCTCGGTCGAAGTTGGACTTACCTAGTCGGACTATTTGTCCCAGGTAAACATACTCGTCAACAACATATATATATATATATATATATATGTGTATATGTAGGAAATATAGTGGGTATAGTACAGAGACTGATTTTGTAGTTAGGAATAATAATTAATTCGTTTACACGAATTAATTATCCAACGAGTCGAGGATAAACTAGTAACGCAATACGACAAGCGCACCGTTCCACGTCAGAGCCAAGACTGCCTTAACGGCGGCCGCTCCGTCCGTTTTATACAAGCAGGACGGGCGGCAACGCACGTGCAATGCCGCAGGTGTGCGGTACACGTGTCGTTTACAAGAATTCTGTTTAGCTAGACCGACGCCACCGCACCCACAACGGTGCAGGTGCCGTCACGGCCATACTGACATGCGTGCGTCCTCGCACGCGCTCCATCACAATTTTAGTTATCTGTAGACAAAAAAACATCGTTCGACTATCCTGACATAACAGCGTCTGGTCCGGTCTATATTGATCCTTCAGACTTGGGTGACAGTCAGCTTTGTTCCGGCAGTAAGCCCTACAAAACTTTAATTATCTTTATGTTATATCGGAATGATTAGTCTGTAGCTTTTTTCTATTTTCTCTCTTTTTTTTTCAAGTACTGTTTTCGCTAGTCCGGAATAACTATTCCCTATAGCCATATCATTGGACCGGCACACAGCCCTGCAATGATAGTAAGAACTATTTTTTTTCTTACGCTTTTTTTTTCAAGTACTATTTATGCTAGTCCGGAATCACTATTCCCTTTAGCTATATCATTGGACCGGCAAACGCCCTGCAATGATAGTAAGAACCACATTTTTTTTTCTTACTCTCTTTTTTTTTCAATTCAGTATAGAACAGTTACAGATGAAACATACCGCAAACATGTCCCCGTCACAATCACACAAAAGTGTATCGTGAGGGACGTAGTGACACGATAACACCTAAGTATGTAAACCAACAGCAACTCTACACATATCCCAGTGCAGCACAGACCAGCCTCCCTGCAACTTCATGTTCCTTTTCTGCACTAGAATAATTACTTCGTTAGGGTGTTGCAATGTCTCTAGTATTTTCTAGATGCACAGACACGGCTACCTCTGACTGTCGCACGTCCTCGTGCGGTTGACAGTGAACAGCATACGGTCTATCAGTTATCACCACCTGCTAACAGATATTAAACTCTTGTTAAATATTACAACGGTCGACCATCCCAGACTTCATTTAAGTCATGGACGCACCGATATGGCTACCTCCAGGCAAACGCACTCCAACTTTCCGTTCTGCTGCGTTCGTGCCACATTCGCGCTAGCGAGCCGTCGCGCCGTACTGGCGCTAGTGAATCGTCGCACTGCTTTGCAAAATTAAAAATTAAGAGAAATAGAGATAAACGTATTGTGAACCATGGAATTCAGAGATTCTCTTAAGAAACGGCAACTGTATGCCATTTGAAAACATTGCAAAAAAGGGAAACTATGTGTAGAGACAAATACTACAAGATATTTCAAAGGGAAGGAGGCAACCGCGCAAAAGCCGTCCAAGCCTCAGACGTCCATTTACAGCGCCAAAGCACCATTTGTTCGGCGGCCGCTTGAATTGCCTTGTCGTAAGATCAGCCGATAAGTTACCGACTGTAGCGGTGTAGGCTCAATCATACCAGCGCTCGGCCGTACCTGACCTTGTTCGATTAGCCGTCACAGCATCTTCCTCATTGATCATTGTTGTAAAGACTTAAATCCTTCGACATCAAGCCCCAATCTTGTCGACCACATAATATTTGGAGTAAACTGCAACACTGGTCAACAGATTAGAACACAAAAATGTCACTTATTATTTTTAATTCATAGCGTGTTAAAGTTAATCCTTTATTGTAGTACAACCCTTAAAAGTTTTGAACTTCAAAATATAGCAAATGATAATCATGTTTCGCGTGAACTATCAAATTACAACAAAACGAGAGCAGCAGGAGCACCTGAGCGTTCACAGGAATCGTCGGGGTTGTAGTCATCATGATCTGCGTGAAAAACAAATTGTTAACTATAAGGACAACATACACAGTTGCCTGTTCTCTCATCTATCACACATACGAGGCCCTAAAACAGAAATACGTTCTCATACCGTAGACTATAATAAAGCACTTCGCTTTCACAAGTAAACATAGGTCTTCATACGAAGTATCTGACACATACTCTTACTTGAACTTGCGAGATCCCACGTTAACTACGTGAACCACATTAAAAACGTGAACCAGGACAGCGCCTGCCAGGACAGAGCTTAATACAAGTTCAGAAAACATTACCGTGCACACAGCATACGACTTCCGCGCACACAGTATGACCCCCACGCATACAGAGTACACGACTTCCGACGCATCGCCATGTACAGCATACGCGCGCTCCGGGATGGCGCCTGCGTATACGCGCATACGCATCTGCTGAAACCAGGCCATGTTACAGCTGGACCTGGCAGTCCGTTACGACCAGCAAGGCACACACTCACGCACTTGTAATCACATCACACGTGCTACTGTAACACATAAAAGAAAACATTAAAAATACTCAGTCGGAACTTGATTTCAAGAAATGCAGCACTACTCTTGATACACCATTCGCCTTTCTAGGGCACCAAATACTGAGCTGCGGCTACACAACCTCTGGTATGGTCCGATCCTCATGTAAACTTAAATATTCTCTTCAATGTCAGAACTAATTGGCTCTACTTCACTTTCATCAGTTATACTTCGGTTTTCCGGCATTTTTCGCAACCAATTAAAAATGTAAACACTCACTCTTACAAAATGGTTTCTGAGCCAATGTTAAGGATAAATTTACTTTCCTCATGTATCTAATGGTGATCAGTAGTAGCGACAAATAATAAGTCCGCGGCGTAATAAGCCGACAGCATACTCAAAAGCGAGCGCTACAGCTCCACGCTTTCCACCAAACCATTCCAAGTTTGTCGACTACGTAATGCTCGGAGTAAACTGTAACACTTATCATCACATTAGATCACAAAAATACTACTTAGTGTTTTTAAGTCATAGTACGTTAAAGTAATCATGTTCTTTTTTTCGGTACATCGTTTAAACATTTTGAACTTTAAAACTAGGCATGTAAATCACACCTCGTGTATCAAATTATAACATTACTTGAGCAAGTTAAACTTCCACTGAATGCAAACTATGACTCGTCTAGAAAGCCTCCGACATTTCTTCCATTTGTTAACATATTTAGGTACGTCAGAAATAATGAAAATACTTGAGGGTACTTTTAATACAAATGGAACAAAAGGATTTATCTTTTGGCTTAAATAATTTTACTTTATCTTTTCTCTACACTTTAATGATACGACAATATCGTAAGTAGGACAGCAAATTTCATTACGGTATTTAACATAAAAAGAGTTCCATCAATGCGAAATGCATTATAGCCTTTACAAATGTAATAATTCTCATACTATTCGAAGATTATATGTGGGCAATAAGGGGGACTTTATCCCACTTCTGATGTAGGAAATATAGTGGGTATAGTACAGAGACTGATTTTGTAGTTAGGAATAATAATTAATTCGTTTACACGAATTAATTATCCAACGAGTCGAGGATAAACTAGTAACG